AATCTTGTGGAACTGCGCATTTTGTACTACTTATTTATGATTAAAATACAGGTAATTAGTTATTGATACATATATATATGTACAGACTTTAAGAATACAATAATTAAATTTAGACTACGAAAATAATCAAGTTTGCTTAGGAACATCGTGCGTAGATGTTTTGCTTGAAGGAGGTGGAGTCATGTTTTTTAGTTCTTCGTCTATACGTTCTTTAGCACGTACTATTTTTGATTGAATATAAAATGAACCACCTTTAGATCTGTCATTAGCTTCCATGAGATACTTATAATTGCGTTCAATAGCTTCTGTTTGATCTATTCTCTCAACATCTAAAATACGCAACGCTTCGTCCAAAGAAATGCCAGTCCTAGAATTGGCTGCTACATGTTGATCGCCTCTAATTCCACCACCAGATCTGCGTGCAGCTTCCTGACTTGCAGCAATTTCTTGTCGTAATGCTCGGGCGAAGGCTTTGCCGACAACTCGCGTGCCCATAATAATTATTTGTATTAAGTGTTTCGCCATAACCTCTTCTCGCAGGTTAGAAATAAGTACTGAAATTATTCTTGAAGTATACTTTTTCTATTCACGTTCACTTCTGAAAAATATTTCATTTTTATAAAATTCACTTTCGTCACAATTTTTTAACGATGACATTACCAATATCAAAACTTTATAAATGTTCTTTTATACGTACGATGTGCTACTCGTGCCAGTCGTATTTCCCAATGTAGTAGTCATGTGCGCCTTATATCTGGTATATATACATTTGTTAGGAAATCTATATGTAAAGTTTTAAATAAAAATGTTTATTTTTACAGTAACATTCAGATAATTGACGTAAATCAATCAAAATTCTCAAATTTGGAATGTGGAAGTTGTTTTCTATCAAAGCGGACATTTCTAATTCCGTAATAATGATTGTATAATACGTAATAAGAAGAATCTTTCAAGTACATGATGAAATTTTGTTTAAAAAAACAATGAAAATCAGTACCAATATATAAAATTGCAACTGTTTAACATTATTGATTAAAACTGAATTTATTCTAGATGACTGCTTTATTATAAATTATCAGAGGTTAGGTTAGATCAAAATTGTGTATACGCATTCACGTATATTCACAGAGATATTTTCAATGAAGGATTAATCTTAATACACCTTACTTTTATTAATAAGTAACATTATATTTACATTTGTTGGTCAATTTTAATATGAAGTGAAATAGAATTTGCCATTTTGAATTTTTTCACAAAATAGAATAGAAACAGTTATTACTCTATTAATGCACTTCAAATACCAAATATATGCTCAGGCAGGTATCGGTTGTCTGTTAAAGTAATTCAGTGCATTATCTGCACAAGTAAGTACTAGATTATATACAGGATGAGTTACTTCCACCAAATTGGTGGTTTCAGGTCCAATAATTAATGGCTGTGGAGAATTTTGTGCAATTGATAATCCACTGAGAGCATAACATGTATGATACATATCTGGATATCTAAAACAACCGGTGAAACTTAGAAAATTATTGTATCGTAATGTAATCATGACATTATATTTATACCTTCCAGGCTTATCCAAAAGGCCACCATCAGGATGTTGGCAGCAGATTAATAGATATTCTTGTAAGGCCTCTTGATTGAACAACCAGTAATTAGAATTGAACACTTTTTTCTGTTTTGTTAAAATTGCATGAATCAATGCAAAAACTCCGCCTTGCCAAAATGAATAGCAACCATCTATTACTTTATTGGATCGTCCTTGAAATCCACCTTCCATCCGCATTTGTTTGTTTACTATCCATCTCTAACAGTATATAACATCAGAAAAAAAATAAGAGATTTTTCATTGTGCATTGTTAAAATTCAAAAGACTGTATGTACCAATAATGATTTTAAATGGCAAAAATCAGTTTTCCCAAGAAGCACAAGTGCTGCTAATCCACAATATGTATATCCACCATGAGCTTCCATACCGGGACAACCACCAATACCACCCTCCCAAGTCTGACATTTAGCTATCCAGTCTTCTGATCCCTTGAACATTTCAGGAGTATATACATTTGTCAATTTTGCTACAGCAAGTGCACAGTATATACCCCTTATATCTACTTCTCCATCAGCATGTAAACTAAAAGAACCATCTTCACCATGCAAGGATATTAAAAAGCGTTTAAGCGCTTTCCTACAATCAATACACATGGTTTTTATGGTATAATATATGTATATATGTATATAGATATAATGATTCATTATAAATAATTTCTCTATGCAATATACTTCTGTGTACCTATCGATTGCTTGATAAGCTTCATGAGTTCCAATGATACATAATGCATTCACTGCTGCATAAGTACTAGCTAAGTGAGGATACTGTCCTGGACCTCCTCCAAATCCTCCTTCCGGTGACTGACATTTGGCTAAGAAACCAATAATTCTGGAATACTCTTCATCGTTTAAACGATGTCCTAAGATTTGCAGGCAATGTAAAATCCAATAACATAACCATGACCTGCTGCAATCTAAAGACTAAACGGCAAAGAAAACATATATCAGTGCAATACATAAAATAAAAGGGAAAACTGTAAATTCAATAAAACAGGTAAATTAAGAGCACTTACTTCGTAAGTTCCATCAAGATTAGTTATAAATATTTTTAATTTTTTTATATGCTTTTCTGTTATTAAAGTGGGGGTATGACTTAATTTGTACAATTTAAGTACTTGATTTTCTATATGCTCCTATGGAATTATAATGTTAAAAATTATAACGTACAACGTACCGATATCAAATAAGATACACACATAAATTGATCATCGTCGATGATAAGAATGTACCTGTTCTATCGACGTTTTGGTTTGATGTTCTTCATCATCTTGTTTTTGTTCGAATATTTCGGCGTAACTTCTAATGTGAGGTTCTTCGAGTTCACTCAACATTGACTTCCTCATAATCTATTGGAAATGCGTGAATGTCTCGTATCAAATTTAATAATGGAAAATTGAGCGCCGAAATTTAAGAAAAGGGGGCGAGTAATTAATTAAATTTCAAAATAACTACATCACATTCATGTTGAATGCGGAATAATTACGTTAAGGTTAATAGAGCGTGGAGGTTCTGTGACACTAACCAAAGTGTATATTATAGACACACTTGCAAAATATTAAGAACTGTGCGTGATTAACCTTAGTTACAGCACACCGTTTGTCAAAACACATAGTTGTTCACCCCACTCTGGCAACTCGTCACCAGACCTCTCTTATATCGCGATAATCAATGCCATTCAATCTACCCTCGATAAGAGCTCAAACCTGGGTTTCCCTAGAACAGTTTTTTATCGTAAGTTTTTCAGTTTACTTATTATATAATGTATCAGGAGAAATATTACACAACGGAAAGCATTAAAAGTTTATTACAATAAATTCTATTTATTATAAATTCCACAATTACAATAAATTCTATTTATTATAGTTATAACGTTCGTGCAAATAGCGGCAAGAACCATTTGCTCTAAAAGGATAGATCATTTGATTGATCTTTATCAAAATATGGTTCAAATATTATTTGATTCCTATGTACTAACGAGTCTAAAATTTCGAACTATCGGTAACGTCGAGCGCATCATCGAAAATCATCCGTCGATATGGTTTGCGTACGTGTTTCATCATTTCTCCGCGAATGGCGCTATATTGAAATCAGCGCGGCAAGTCATTTGTGTCCGGAAATGATGTACGATGAAAGTGGATAATTTTATCAACATTTCTGATGATATATCTAAGGTATTAGTTTCTATACATTTATTATTTAAAAACTGAATGTTAATATCAGTTTCTTTGTAGTAATAGAAGATCGGTTGTCATCTGATATTTCAAGTTACCAAAGATGTATATTACAACGAATAATGAGTTCGTACCAAAACAATTTATTATTTATACATTTTACGGAGAAGAAACTTGCTTCTGTTGGAATGAAGACAAGGTGGTAATATTTCCATACACAAATGATAATTTTGTGTCTGCTGAAGTTTTAACGGCTCCTGCACCAATAAGAAGTATACAATGTTTGGCAGGCAAAATTTTGTTTACTTGCATTCCCCATGGGATATATAAGCTATTGAAAGACAGGAAATTTGCCGTTTTAAGTAAAACTGCTATTGCAGTGGGTACTCTTTTTTATGAAGTATTAAAACCAAGAAATAAATATCTTTATTTAGATAATAAACAAGATAAAACGAATAAACTGTTGCTTCAACTTCCTCCTGAGGAAAATGACTCGAGAAAATTATGTACTTACGCATTGAGTGTGGAAAATGCAACAGAACAGTTTATTGGAACCTTAGCAAAACCTAATTGTAATGTAGAACATTTGTGCATAGTGGCAATGGGAAAAAGAATTTTAATACTAATGCGTGAAACTGTTCAAATAATATACAACAGTATTTATTCCATCAGAGATATAATACCTGTACAAATAGATTCCAAGGTTGGTGCTTTGCTATTCCTTACAAACAATGACAATATCATCATAATGTACTCGAAGAACGATACACTAGCCTTTGAGAAGATTTTTATTGGTGGAAATATACATAGTCTCTGTGCAGGCTTCAGTCGATTAACAGAGAATGCATTATGGTTTGTATATTCAGATGAGTCTAAATTATTTTATGGAAGAAAACAATTATCATCAATAGACAATGTTCAACGATTAAGTGTTCAGGATAATAGCTTTTGTTGTTTGCAACACTACAATTCAAAAGTAATTTTGGGTTTAACTATGGACAAACAATTGACAGAGTTTTCCACAGATACAATAGAAAAAACATTATCATTGGAGCACGATGTTTTTATTAATCTTCATCCAGACATGTTGAATGGCACGAATCTTATCATGGATAAGATTTATAAAGGAACACAAGAAATACATACATTAAACAAAACATTACAAGCCGAAGAAGATAAATTAAAAAGAATAAACTTGTATGCTCACAAGTGTAAAATACATTTATGTCCAAAAATGTTACTACACAGGATAGCCAATCTATTGTTCTTGTCTGTAACATTTTCCAATCTTCCGAAAAACAGTTGGGTGATACTTAATGTAAAGTGTAAAAATGAAAATATCTTTTGTATGAAAAAAGTGGAGGATCAAGAAACCATAGTGGACGTTCATATACCTGAAGGTAAAGCAGTTAATTTTTCACAAGTATCTATAGATTTAGTTACTTTAAAGGACAAAGGATATTCTTGGTGTCTCATAAGAGACTACGTAACGTATGCTCGCCACGAGAAGAATAAGAAAAAAAGAACAAGGTCAGACAAGACCAGTTTGATAAATTCGAAAATTGCTATGCTCGAAAACTTCATACAAGAAGGGAACATCGACATGAAAACATTATCCGAAATCAAAAGGAAAGTGAGGAAAGAATGCTGCGAACTGTAAGATTCAACTGTGCACAGTACCATTCATAAATGGACCCACTGATTTCCTGAGTGCAGTTACGTTATCATCTGGCGTCGCAGCGGGGAGGTATTCCATTTTTTCAACACGTACATTGAACTTTATTAGAAAAAGTCTTACTGCGATTAAAATGTTTATAAAACTCTCCATTACTTTTTAGAATATATCTTGTTCTCTTTAACCGAACGTGTACAGTCTTGATTAAAGTAAGTATTAAAACCGATCACTTTGTAATTATTTCTCGCATGCACCCGTCTCGACTGTCGTACATTTCTTCCAAGCGTCTTGACGCACGTCTGTCGCTCCGTGTCTCACAATTTCTCCGTGGCAGGTACTTCGACGATACTACCTATACTACAACTGGAACTTTTCTTCGATTGTTTTTGTAGATTTCTCGAACTGGTGGGCGTTCTGACGCCTCCTAGGCGACTCTGAAACGCCACCAATGTTTTCGAGTTTTTCTTGGACCCTCTGCGCTCCGCGGTGGCATTGGTGTTGCTGTCGAGACTGCGCCGCCACAGTTTCGCAAAGCAGATTCGAAAGTTCTCCGAGAAGATACCGTAGAGCACAGGATTTACTATCGCATTGAACTGCGCCACGATCAACGCCCAAATGAAATGATGCGATTTTAGGAAGAAATCGGGATTCTCGGTGGATCTCTTGCCGTCCACGTAGATCAACAGTATAACGGTGGTGATGGGCAGCCACATTATAAGAACGCACAGCACGTTTAGCATTAACATTCGCACCACCCGCAGATGCTTTTGCAGTCGTATCTCTTCGTGTTGAGAAAGACTACCGGCTCGCCCTTGTCTGGCTGTGATTGACGCGTTGGATAGTTTCCTTCCTGGCCAAGGTAATAACGTTCCCACCACCGATAGCTCGGAATCTCTTCTACCTGTTGCGCCATTCTCCAGTCCCTGTGTATGTATATATATATACGTCTACAAATGTGTATGCACAACGACATGTGCATGCTCGCAACACATATACATACGTATATATATATACATATTATATTATATTATAATATATAAATAATAAAAAATATATGTATATATATAATACTATACTATAATATATACTATATTATACTATATATACTATTTTGTAATATATACTATATTATACTGTATATACTATTTTATAATGTATACTATATTATACTATATATACTATTTATATTTATAAATATATACTATAATATATGTACATAATATAATACATATACACATACGGTGGTACTATCACTGAAAAGTAGATCGACAGTTGCCGACATAAACGTTCATTTAAACATTTCAGTATAAAACAGCTACGTTTCATACGAGGTAATGTGAACGAACTATAGAAACGATTGGAATTACTTGCGCGATGCACGAGACGGCCCATCTGTTTCGCGAATCGAGAATTTTTTTAAAGATCCGCTGGTAATGGTAAACCAGAAGAATCATCGGCAGAAGACACGCCAGGATGACGATCGGTACTGTGAAGCACAATGAAACGTTTACGACTTCGCTCCGTGGAAAGACTAGAGTACAGATCGTTAGCTCGTTCGCGAGGTCCTGCGCATTTAAAGTATTCAGAGTATATTAATCACCGGCTCAAGGTGAATGGGTTAATGATGGTTAATGATACTTGTGCGGTACGCGGTGCGGCAAGCCCAGTTTCTTACGTGAAATGTAAAGTACCTTCAGCTTGAACCAAAATATCATCGGCAGAAAAACGGAAGCCGCAATGGCCCAAGTGAGGAGACTAGCCGCCAGAACTCGGGATCTCGTTAAGGCACTTCTGTAAGGGGCTACTGCTAAGCACCGATGCCTGTCCATCGATATGAACGTCAACGTCCATAGAAGTACAAAGCCGCAGACCAACTATAAGGAGCAAAAGCCAGCAGATCAGTGTATGAGAATATATGTGCTTTTACCAAGAAATAACAGAGCTTTGGTAAACAATACCACTCAAAGTATAAATGGCAATGGGAATAGCTTCATACGATATAGGCTTGGCAGCGAATAGGTCAATAATTTATTGGAAAAAGAGGAAAATTCTCAGCATATGTTATGCCTATGTTTCTTTTTAAGTATAATAGTTGATTACAGGGGAATAATATTTATTTTGAATCAAAATGAACTGAGTAATATATATATTTGTTGAATCATGTTGAAAATCTTCACCTTGTCATTAATAATTTATTGGGAAAAGAGGAAAATTCTGAGCATATGTTACTATATTTCCTTTTAAGTATAAGAGTCGATTACAGAAGAATGTTTACTTTGAATCAGAATGAACTAATATATATATTGTTGAAAATGTTCAACGCGAGTCTCACTCGTTATAGGGCAAGGGGTTAACTGACTGGCGAAAGAATGGAATACCTGAGAGTAGGGTAACAATTTGCAGATCGTCTCCCCGAGACGCCAGGCTTGAGTCAATCTGGTGTAGGCGATCGCTGGCACTCCGACGCTGAACAATAGATCGGCGGCGGCCAGGTTCACCAGACACAAGTTCGTGGGCGTCCTCATCTCTTTGTATCTGAGTATGCAACCGGCTATTCCCAAGTTGCCGGCGATCGCCAAGACAAAGCTAACGGCTAGGATCATCACCTGCGGAAATTCGGAGAGACCAGTATATTAGTGTTAATACACTAAGTTTACGGAACGCGTCAATTTGACGCAGATTGAATTTTATAAGCATTATTTGCTAAACGTTTCAATCGGTTTTCGTTGATCCAATTACACGAATATCAACTTCCCCAGGAACAGTAGAATAAACTACAATAAATGCCCGTAAACCTAGTTAACATTCCTTTACGAGAAGACGTTCTTCAAGACTAATTCGAAGAGACCAGTATATTAAATAACAAAGCTGTTTTATTCCAACGTTTCACGTATCGAGGCACTCCGGACAATCGGCGAATCAACGGTTCGTTACCTCAACGGTGCTAGCTCTGGCGCGGTCCCCGAATTGGCTGTAGTAAGTGAAGTAGTACCGTGGTCCCCATTCCTCGTCGTCTCCCCATAGATAAGACGAGTTCATTTTCAAACCACCGATCTTCCGACGACGTCCGAGCGGCAGGAACCTCGACTCATTTTCCGTTCTGGTTTCGTTTCAGCTTCCGACGCGGCTGCTCCGTCACCGTCTCCGTCAACGTCGCTCGGGACTCGCACCTTCCATGGACGACGACGATCCCTCTGCACTTCAGCGGCAGGCTTCGCCGATGCTATCCGAGCACCGTATCCGGTTGTGATAGGACTTATCGAGCGTCTGCAACAGTCGAATCGTTTAATGCAATTTAACTTCCGACCAGCGAATCGCGAGTCGCGGCCCATTAACGCTCATCGGTTACCGTCGATCGAACCGGTGCGAAATGCTTGCACGACCGATCGTCAACGCATCGCGTACCGGTCACTTTTCAGAAAACTGAATTCTGATGGCAATTTTCACCGAGGTCAACCGATATCGCTGTACATGGAAAAACTCAGATACGTCGTGTAATTTATTTTAACCGTTTGCACTCGGAAGTATTTAGCGATGCTTAACATATTGCGTGCCGGCTAATTTTCGGAAAACTGAACTCCGCGGATTTTCACTGAGATCAACTTACATCACTATACAAACAGAAACTCGGATAAAATGTAATATTCTCTTAAGTACTGTGGTAATTACCAAAGTTACACGAAGTTACAAGTGTCTACATAGAAACGAGATTTCTCGTTACCAGTACGCAATGTGTTAACATTTTCTCTGGACAAAGATGGTGGTCTTTTTTAAATGAATTCAGAGAGAGATCTCAGGTGAATTAAGAGACAGCTTTTTTATCCGAATATTTTATCACAAGTTTTTCATTAGAGATACTCAGCATTTTTTAACGAAACACCAACGACATTCTTTCAAACTGACTTAACGAGGAATCGTTAAATTAAAGAAAGAGGCTGTTTTATTTGAATATTTTACACGTCGATGCATTGTACGAAGTTTAATATTAAATGTCAAACTCTATAACTTTGCTGTGTCAAATCAATTGGCGACTGAGAGGCGCCTCCGGAGTGCAAAGGGTTAAATTTTCTGAGACTGCGTCACCTCGAGTGCAAAGGGTTAAATGGATGATCAGTTCGAATGAAATTTTATATTTTTCTCAATGCTGCGGTAATCAGCGAAGTTCCATAGCTAAGTATTTTTACAGAAAAACGAGATTTCTTAATGTGTTAACACGTTCCGTGCCGCGTGTACCATTTATGGTGCATTTTTCTAAGGAAACATTTGAGAGAGACGTGTGAAAGAATAGTGGTAGAAGAAACAGCGCGTTAATCTATCTGTTAAGAAATCGGTGCACTTTACAAGCAATATACAACCGAAATTTCCAGTGGCACGGAATGTAATCGTCGCAACGAGAGTTCAAAGGGTTAAATGTTACGCCTAGCAGCGGAAGTACGCCGAGGGGTTGAAAACTAAATGAAAGAACAGGAAGGCGATAAGGCGCTCGTGTAAGACACGATAAGATACATTTTCTAGGAACCTGTCTACCGTGTTACAGGAGCGTTAATTCTCTAATTTAATTTAATTTAATAACTCTAATTTACACGAGCACCGCGACCGAGATGGAAGCTGCAAACGATATCGGTTCGATTCAGACATGGAGGGTACAATAAAAAAAGCAGCACCCTTATCGCGTCCCGAATCGGTCGTTTCTATCGTGGAATCTCTCGGCTAGGTTAATTACCACTCGATATATCGACCTACGTACTCCATCCCCCCAAAAAATCTAGCCGATTGCTCGCGGCACGCGGAAGCCTGGCTCGGTTCAGCGATTCGTTTCGTTTCCAATTGTTTTCGAGCTCCTCGAGGCTTTGAGTCATCGATTTTTCTGGACGACGTTCGCCCTGGACTTGTTGCCTTAACGTTGAATGCCGTGGGGGTCACCGGTGACCCGAAAGTTTCCAAATAATCATCGTTTAATCGAATTATAATTGAATTCGATCGCATTAAAGAACTTAGAACAGCTCGATCATTCGAGGAAGGAAACTCGTTTCCATAAATTCACCTTCGTTCCGCTCAATTATCTCCGCTCGCGTCGTGGTAAATAGAATTACGTAATATTCTTTTCTCCGTCGCGCTCGAGGACGATCAACCGGAACGCTCTCGCTTCTTGAAACGGCTTGTGCGCTCTGTTCCTCGAATTCTGTTCGCCGGTTCCGTGTCACGTTTCAATTCATCGTTAACCCCTTGGCGTACCATTTACTTTCATTACCAAACTCGTGTAATATTTTACTATCGACAATTTGGAAGAAATACAGGAAAATTCTCCATTCTACTTCAGGTGGAAATTTCATTTGAAGATGATACATTGGTAATAGTTGAATCTTGAATCGCGTTGAAAATGTTGTAGAACAAGGGGTTAAGAAATCGCATATGAATTAGGGAACCAAAGCTGTTTTGCAACATTTCATATATCGATGCAGTATACAAAGGCTGACCCTTTAGAGTACTACTTTCGCTAAGCTCCTGTAACATTTTACAATTTGGAAGAAATGCAGTCCATTCCACTCGAAGTAGAAACTGATAACAGCAGGATGCTTTGCTCAGCTTCCCATTGTTCCTTGAACATTATAAATACCTCGGACACAGCCATATAAAAAAAACAAAAATCTGTTCATCATGTTGCAATACCTCCTCGAATTTCGACTAACAATACTCCTTCGCACTGTTCCATAGACACCGGATGTTCCTACCAGCACATAGATTCCCGTCAAGTCGAACAACGAAGTTTGCTTCGCACGTTTACGGCGAAGGATTCGACGGGGACGGCTAGAAATAAAACGACAAGTTCCGAGGGAACGCGGACGGAATCAAGGGGACGATCGATCGACCGGGGAAGCACGTGGATCGCGGATCCCGGGACGAGAATACGCTCGCGACGAGGAGAACAGACGACGCGTCGGCTCGCGCGTGAAAGGAACGCTCGCGAGAAGAATAGGGGACAGCGTAGGTTGTTTCGCGATACATCCGGCGATCGGCGGGTCGCTTCATCGCTTTTTTTAAATCTAACGAAGGTGTTAATCTTCCTCGAGCCATAAAATTCCCGTAAATATTTTCCGAACTCCGGGCTCGTATCGCCACCCCTGTACGCCGGCTCGATAAAAATAGGAGCGCGGGACAAAGGAGTCGTCTCCAGCGCAGTTCGAAAATGCCTCGCGAAAACTTGCCCGTGAAACTCGTCCTCGGTAATTCGGGATTCCGAGTGCGGGTACCACTCTTGCGTCCTGTACGGTTTCGACGCGCTGCACGATTTTAGAGGGAAATGTAGGAAATAAGAATGTAGCGTTAAATAGTTAACCGTTAGCACTACAGGTTGTTTTGTGATCTAGCAACTGCAACTAATTTTTATAGTATTGCTATAAATTTTTATAGTGATGCTATAACATTTCTTAGATCTTCTATTTTCCTTAGTGGAAAATTTGGATGTAGAAAATTTAACAATTGTAGGGTAGTTTCTTTGATTCATTGAAATATTTCATTTTATTCCTGGTGCAATATTGGAGCCTACAGAGTTCAAAGGATTAAAGAGGTGGAAGTATTAACCCTTAGTACTCCAGATGGTTTTGTAATCTAGCAACTGCAACTAATTTTTATGGAATCCATAGCGAAAATGAGAAATGCAACATTCCTTCTTTTATTTTTCTCACCAATGCAAAATTTGGATGTGTAAAATCTAATAATTGTTTCTTTGATTCATTAAAATATTTAATATTATAACTGCTGCAATATTCAAGCCTACAGAGTTCAAAGGGTTAATAAATGATTTCGCCGTGGTCCGTTCGTGCCGACCTAGATCAGAAATAGTACGAATTCAATTATTTCCCATACCGATCGCAATCAATTATTCTCTACGGTCCGAGTAAAACGGAACCGTCGTTTCTTATTATTCTATTGTCATAGTCTTGCACACGTGTCTTACTCTTCTCTGTTTGTTCTTCTTTTTCCGTTGCATTTCCGGTACCAGCGGTCCAGTACAAATTAAAGGAAACTCGTTAACACTAGGTTTACGGAACGCGTGAAATTGACGCATATTGGACTTTAGAAATATTACTTTATAAATGTTTACGCCGATTTTGATTGATGCGGTCACACATGTACCCCAATTACTATCAAATCTCCAGTTTCTACAATCTAAATAAACGAGCAATTCTTTTAAGAACAATATTATCAAGTGTACAATAAATGCTCGTAGACCTAGTGTTAAGAAGAATCCTCATTTCTACATCTACTTCCAAAATCTAAATGAACGAGTATCAACTTGCTCAGAAACAATAGAATAAACTACAATAAATGCTCATAAACTTAGTGTTAAGAAGAATCCTCATTGTCTATTTCTACATCTACTTCCAAAATCTAAATGAACGAGCATTTCTTTTAGGAATAATAGAATAAACTGTACAATAAATGCTCATAAAGCTAGTGTTAAATTGTCGGAGAGAAACGAATAAATGAAACAGTACCTTTTTGAACGGTGCCGCGCTAATCGAACGTTGAAACCCAAACGAGATTCTCCCAACTGGTCGAGGAAGCTGAATATTGTTAAACGGTTGCGACAGGTTCGAACAACGCTGGGGAAAAGGTGAGGAAGAGTTTCGAGTTTACACTGAATCCGTTTAATCGCGGCAGAAAATCGCGTCGCGATTTAGAGTCGAGCGACGCGTGCGACGCCTGCGGATGCTACCCGCTCACTGATGGCGCTGAACAGTTGTCAACCATCAGGGGCCAGGTTTTTGCTCCCTTGTACTCGCTCCTGCGCAGAATCGGGAGTTTGAACCTAGTGTTAACATGTTGACTGCCACGAGAATTTCTAGTGTTTCGAATAGCAAGACTTATTCTTTGATAACAATGGCAAATGATACTGAAAATAATTATTAATAATTTAGTATCACAGTAGTCATATCATGCTATGATCTAGCTACCAATATTACTAAATATTCTTATTTAAAATCAAGTTTTTTATTGTAATTATTCTTCAGTAATTTGGAAGCCCCGGTCATCAGTCACCGTGACAATCAACGTGTTAAAACGTTTGCAAATAATTACTATAATCGACTATGATTATAATTCTACTATAATATAATTTAATTGGAATTATTATAATGGTGGTATTATAATAAGTGGAATTGAAGGAATAATATAAAGAACGACAGGGTGAAAACGGAATTGTACTTTATATTTTGTGAATACAGTAATACGTTGATAAATATTTCACTCTGTTTTTCTCGAATGTACAGTTTCATCGACATACATTGACTTTGAAAAAAATAACCATAACGAAGATAACGTATTTATATTCTGTCAAAGGTATGTGTGTATGTATGTGTGTATGTGTGTGTGTGTGTGCAATATAAGATCCGTGGTCGGACATCGACAGTGAAAATATCTGAAACTTTCTCGGTTTAGTTCTCGCTCGAATGAAATCGCTACCATAACCGGGAACAAGATACCGGCGCGAGCACCATCATAGGTAAACGAGTAGCCATAGAATTCCATGCACAAGCCTGAACCGGAAATCAACTAAACATCGCGTTTCTACGAATACAACGTGAATTCCAATCGATCTGTTCTTTCTCTCGCTTTAGTTAAAATTTTTCACTGCAAAACAAAATATCGATTACAAAGACGACTTAACCACTGGTTTAAAAAT